CTGGCTGCCGCAGCCATTATTCCCTCCTGTACAACACGGAGGTCGACGAGCCTCGTGAGGAGCACGACGAGGCTGGCTGCCGCAGCCATTATTCCCTCCTGTACAACACGGAGGTCGACGAGCCTCGTGAGGAGCACGACGAGGCTGGCTGCCATAGCCCTTTTTCCCTCCTGTACAACACGGAGGTCGACGAGCCTCGTGAGGAGCACGACGAGGCTGGCTGCCGCAGCCATTATTCCCTCCTGTACAACACGGAGGTCGACGAGCCTCGCTCAGCGGGTCCTTCTGCCCCAGTGGTTTCTCGCTCCTCCCTGCCAGCAGTTAGAGCACTGCTCCAGGAGCTTCCCGCCATCATCTCCGCGGCTGCGACCCGCAGGTGGCTAGCCGTTCCAGAACCGGCTCCCCTGAGGCGGATGAATTGGCGGGAATTTTTGGGGCAACACAGACGCGCTGTCCAGAACCCGTCTGGCCGCACTTCCCCGCTGCCATGAGCTGCTGGTCCGCCGCCTTCTCCGAGCCTGCCAGGCTCGAGGCGCCAATTTCCACATATGCGCCCATTACCAAGGTCGAGGGCTTCTCCGACCAGGGCTGGCCATCCGTTCCTCCACTGGAGCCGGACTTGGCCTCGCTGTGTGGCGTCAAGAACCACCTCACTGGACCGCGAGCAGTTCCCACTAAGCATGACCAGCTGCTGAGGCGGCTCGCCGATCGCGCACACCAGTGCGCCTTCCAGACCGGCGCTGCAGGAAATAACATCGCCTTCTCGCCTTTGGCGTTTCCAAAATGGTGGAGGAGCTTGACTCTCCTGTCGAGTCAAAAACCATCATTACTAAAACTGCTGATGCCATCCTCAATCTGTGCGCTGCTGTACTCACCGGTTCTGCTCGCATTGCTGCCTGGCAGACCCTTATCCAGCGGCCTTGTGGCTCATGGCCCTGCCCTCCATTCCTGAACACCTGCACAGAGAGATGCTGGAAGGCCACATCACCTCTGATGTTCTGTTTGGTCCCCATCTTACGAGCATCATCTAGAGGGCTCAGCAGCTGAACTTTCAGCCACGGTGCGAGACCTGGTCCACTCTCGGTCAGCCTGCACTCCGGCCGTTCCCCCAGAGGATGGGACGAACGGCGCGGAAACTCCATGTTCCCAGCTGCACGGCCCGCCCCGCGGAGCCGGCCTCCCGCTGAGGCGGGACCAGGGAGTTGGCGGCCAACGGTTCCGAACGAGCCAGCAGACACAGCCTTGGCAGTCACAGGAACCTCGCCGAAAACAACCACGAAAACGACTCGTTGGGGGGAATATGTGTGCTTATGGCTGCAATGTTAACTCTGTGAATTATTTTGGTTTTGAAATAAAAACCCAAAAAACGTCACATCTAGAGCACAATCCTACAGTCCTCTGCAGAACCTTCTGCCGAATCCTCACACATGATGTTCCCCGCACCAAGCACTGCAGCACATCTGCATGTTCACACAGTCGGACCTCGGTCATGTTACACGGGTAGCTGTAAGGGTGCGCTCCATTTGCGCACCGCCCCCAGCCTACGGCCAGGCCCGACTCATCCCGCTTCCCCCACAACTTTGGGTGGGACGGGATGTCATGGCGCTGTCGCGACCACGCGCAAAGCGCCCACATTGCGCGGCTCCATCCGCTGGCACTTTGACGTTCCCGTGCACGGGCCCGGCTCCCACTCGTCCTTCATGGACTCCACGCTCTGCGGTGCGGATCAGCCTCTTCCAGCTGTTTCACACTTGCTCTTTCGAGCACAGCCCTCCATGGGTCGCTCCCAGTTCTCTGGTACGAGCGACGGCGGTAAGGGCGCAAAACCAATCCTCAGACGTTGCTCACGTGACCTCGAGCACACGTCCGCTGTCGGAACGCGCGCACGAATGCCTCCCTTTCGGCTACTCGCTAGCCCAGCGCACTTTCTCCAAATGTCCGGAGACCGCGCTGCAGCCACTGCGCACGGCGGAAACGAGGGTTTTATTTTACCGGGACGATCTGCTCCGATGCGCCCGGTCCGAGGACGGAGCGTCAGTGCAAACCAGGAGGTTAACAGAGCATCTGTCAACCCTGGGGTTTTCTATAAACTGGGGGAAGAACTCTGTTCTTCCATCCCAGTCGATTATGTTTCTCGGGGGGGGGGGGGGGGGGGGGGGGGGGGGGGGGGAGCTGAACGCCTCTCTAATGAGAGCACGTTCGTCGCCGGTGAGAGCAGCAGATCTCACCACGGTGATCTCCCGCGTGCAACCCCGCGAGATCGTGAGAGCCCTGTTAGTCATGAAACTTCTGGGCATGATGGCTGCAGCCCACTCGGTGGTGCTGCTGGGGTTGTTGCACTCGAGGCGCCTTGCAAAGTTGGTTCATCTGCCTCCGGGTACACCCGATACGTCAGAAGAGACGTATGTTGAGGGTTCCCCCCTCAGTGGGCGGGGACCTCGCTCACTGGGGGAATCCCTGCATCCCCTCACACGGGATTCCCATCGGACGTCCTGCGTCACACGTATCTGTGTTTACGGATGCGTCACTGTCTGGGGTGGAGGGCACGTGCTTGTTACGCGGCAGATCGCTAGCCCTCCCACACGCACGAGCACATAAATGTGTTGGAGCTTATGACAATGAGGAATGTGTTCATGCACTTCGCTGCCCTTCTCGATGGCCGTCATGTCGAAGTTCACACAGACAACCAGGTGGCGGCAGCCTGCATAAAACGCCATGGGGGAGTTCGATCCCCCCCTCTATTGCGCATAGCCACAGATTTACTGTGTTGGGCACATGTCCACCTGCTGTGCCACCTACATTCCGGGGATCCTGAATGTAGCGGCAGACATCCTGTCGAGAGGGGGTCCCCGCGACTCCGACTGGCGTCTGCATCCCGCGCTGATATCACAGATTTGGATAAGGTTCGGGGAACCGTGTGGATCTGTTCACGGCTCGCGAAAACGCTCAGTGTCGCCTGAGGTTTTCCCTGAGTCTCCGGGACCAAACCTCGCTCGGAGCGGACGCCTTCTCACACCAGCCCGGGCTTCGAACGCTCCTTTATGCGTTTCCACCAGTCCCTCTGATTCCCCTTCTCCTGGACCGAGTTCGGTCAGAACAGCTCTCGGTAATTCTGGTGGCTCCCAGACGCTTGTCCGCGTCATGGCTTCCGGACCAGCAAGCGCTACTGTCCGGCTCCCCGTGGAGACTCCCGCGAAGGGAGGACGCCCCTCCCCGGGCGGATGGGATAATCAGACATCCTCTGGAAATAAGCCATCGGCTGTGGGTCTGGCCGATGAGCGGTTTCGATTAGGGGTTTCTGGGCTGCCGCATGATGTGGTCATCACGATTCAGAGTGCGCGGGCGCCCTCTACCATTGCATCTTACGCTGCTAAATGGGCAGCTTTCCAGAACTGGGGCACAGAGCAGAATGTTCAAGCGCTCTCCTGCCAGCTGGCGGATGTCCTATCGTTTCTGCAGATACGGACGGACAGGGGCCTCGTATTCAGCACTATTAAAACATATGCTGCAGCTATCTCATCCTGTCACCAGGGTTTTGGTGATAGATCTGTTTTCAATCATCCCCTCACAAAACGTTTTCTAAAAGGTGTCAGAAGGAACAGACCTGTGTCCCGTCCGCTAATTCCCCAGTGGGATCTAACGGTGGTTCTGCGTGGCTTATCTGAAGCCCCATTTGAGCCCTTGGACCAGGTCTCACTCAAGTTCCTGTCACTTACAACTGCCTTGCTGCTGGCACTGGCATCAGTCACGAGAGTGAGCGACCAAACCGCCCTCTCAGTGGCTCCCGCATGCCTCAGGATCCGGAAAGATGGCGGGTCTGCTGTTTTATGCCCCAACCCAGCCTTTGTGCCCAAAAAACATTAATACTTCCTTCAAATCCAGGTCAATTTCATTGGCTGGACATTTTCCTCCTTCCCATAATTCTGAGGAGAAGGCGGCTTCCCATCTTCTCTGCCCAGTGCGCGCGCTCGCACGATATGTGTCACGCACTTCAGGGATTCGCCGCTCACAAATCATGTTTGTGCACTACAGGGAGTCTTCCCTTGGGCAAGCGCTGTTGGCCCAGCGCCTTTGACTCTGGCTATGTGACGCCATTTCACTCGCTTACACATCATTGGGGCTGGATCCTCCTGAGACACTCAAGGCTCACTCAGCCAGAGGGATTTCCTCTTCTGTGGCGCCCCACAGTGGTGGGTCAATGGAAGTCATTTGTCAGGCTGCTTCATGGGCTTCACCCTGTTCCTTTACTCGTTCTTATTTATGAGATGTGTCTTCAGGATCCATCACTCGTTCAGTGCTTGGACCTCAGCAGGCTGAGTGAACGCATTATGGCACCTCATCGGCCCTGCTTGAATGAATTTCATCCTCTTGTGGATGATATTTTTTAGTGGTGGCCCCACTCTTCTCTCTGGCTGCCTCAAGAATTTAAGCCCTGGGCTGAGGCTGAGCGACCCCCACTAAAAGGAGACATGTCGGGTGTGTCCATTGGTTGAGCTAACCAGTGTGGCGTAAACCCATCCAGCTGCGCTTTATTCCAATAGCAGCTCGCTTAAGGGCTAAGACTAGACGAAATAGAACGTTGGTTACGTATTGTAACCCCAGATTCTATGAGTCTAGTCGCAGCCCTTAAGCCACTTGGCCACACTGGTTCTGTTAGGACTAAGAGCCATCGGAGGCGAACAGTGGAGTCGCTCCACTTATATAGCCCACAAGGGGTGCCCACGTGGTGGGCGTACATTTAAGCTCTTCATGATTGGCTGATGCTGAGATCACCCTTCCAATAGCAGCTCGCTTAAGGGCTGCAACTAGACTCATAGAATCTGGGGTTACAATACGTAACCAACGTTTTGAGTGTGTTTAGTTTTTACTTACACAAAATGAAAATTAATCTGAGAGCTCATTAATTTCCCCAAAAATATTTAGATGCATTAGATGATTAAAAAAAGTTTTTTTAATTGTCAAATTAATCAACATTTTCTTTTTTCTCTTATCCTGTCTAGATCTTCCACAGCGTCATGTCTGGGAAAAGGAGAAGGATTTGACTGCCCAGCAGCTCTTTAACCAGGAGTCGATGTCCTGTTCAGACCAGGACAAACCAGAACAGCTAAAACTTTGCCAACATGAAGGACAGCCCTTCCTGAACCAGGAAAATCTTACCTTCACGGATACTCGTCTGTCTGAAGAAACAGACTGTCATGAACCAGAACCAAACAGGAACCAGCCATTGTGTCAGAGTTCTACAGAACCTGAGAACCAAGATCAGGGTGGATGCAGGAAAGAAAACTCAGAATCAAACGGCAATGAAGAACTGAAACTGAATAAAAGGCGTCAGCGAAGCAAAGATCACAGAGACAGTGTAGGTGGTGAAAGACACAAAAAGCACAAATGGGCTCACAGTGGTGAGAGATCACTTTATTGTAAGCTATGTGGAAAATCTATCAGTCACAAATCTTATTTAAATATTCACATGAGAGCTCACACAGGTGAGAAGCCATATTCTTGTAAAACTTGTGGTAAATGTTTTACTATCAGTGGTAACTTGACTACACACATGAGAACTCACACAGGTGAGAAGCCATATCCATGTAAAACTTGTGGTAAATGTTTTACTAAAAGTGGTCACTTGACTAGACACATGAGAACTCACACAGGTGAGAAGCCATATCCATGTACAACTTGTGGTAAATGTTTTGGAACCATTGGTGAATTAACTACACACATGAGAACTCACACAGGTGAGAAGCCATATCCATGTAAAACTTGTGGTAAATGTTTTGGAACCAGTGGTCACTTAACTAAACACATGAGAACTCACACAGGTGAGAAGCCATATCCATGTAAAACTTGTGGTAAATGTTTTAGAGACAGTGGTAACTTGACTAAACACATGAGAACTCACACAGGTGAGAAGCCATATCTATGTAAAACTTGTGGTAAATGTTTTGGAGACAGTTGTCACTTGACTAAATGCATGAGAACTCACACAGGTGAGAAGCCATATTCATGTAAAACTTGTGGTAAATGTTTTACTAAAAGTGGTCACTTGACTACACACATGAGAACTCACACAGGTGAGAAGCCATATCCATGTACAACTTGTGGTAAATGTTTTGGAACCATTGGTGAATTAACTACACACATGAGAACTCACACAGGTGAGAAGCCATATCCATGTAAAACTTGTGGTAAATGTTTTGGAACCAGTGGTCACTTAACTAAACACATGAGAACTCACACAGGTGAGAAGCCATATCCATGTAAAACTTGTGGTAAATGTTTTAGAGACAGTGGTAACTTGACTAAACACATGAGAACTCACACAGGTGAGAAGCCATATCTATGTAAAACTTGTGGTAAATGTTTTGGAGACAGTTGTCACTTGACTACACACATGAGAAGTCACACAGGTGAGAAGCCATATTCATGTAAAACTTGTGGTAAATGTTTTATAGACAGTGGTAACTTGACTAGACACATGAGAATTCACACAGGTGAGAAGTGATTTAATCTATGAGATTCATTAAGGCATTTTCTTTACCTTCTGATTTGAAAATTCACACTTGAGATTGTATTCATTAAAATATGTTTGGCAACATATCATAGATGCCTTACAGTGCTCAAGGCTTGGGTGGAGACTTATTTCATCCACACTTCCTGTTAGAAAAACTCTTCTGAAAAGTAATTAGCTGACAACATCACATTTTGTAGCTTAGCCAGCTTGCCTTAGGAATGCAAATGGGATTGAGCTCATGCGCACGTGATTTAGGACACGGGTGGTCTGTGATGTCACAAGCATACACGGGCGGAGCAAAAGTGCAGAGAAGTCCGCAGTGTCCATTATTAAACAAAAGCAGCCTAAGAAGTCTTGCTTATGGAGACTGACTTTCATATTGCATCCTGCTTTGCTGGGTCTGGCAGTGTGTGTGTGTGTCACAGCAGTGAGGGACAAAAAAAAACAGCTTTTGTGAGAGTCAAGTTAACTCCACAGCATCAACGATAATGAATTGCGCTTGCGGGAAGCCTCCCGCAGGTTGATTCTTGTTGCCAATCGGAGTTGGTAATGGTAGGCATGCTTTTGAGTTAGCCAGTCAGTCAGCAGTGGGCGTGTCTTCCCTGTTCGGCTCCAGGTGGATCTCCTTGGGAAGAGGGTTGAAAAGACATCTGGAGTGAGAAAACTCCTAACCCATGCCATTATTTTATTCGGATCTTTAACTTGTGGTTACATCTGCCTTAAAAATGTTCTTGCTTTATACCAGTGTCCCTCAATAGGCGGTCCAGACCTGGCCTGAGAACGTCCAAGTTTTCAATTCTACTCTGCTTGGCCAGGGAGCACATTGCTTGTGATGTGGATGAGGCACTGTGGCCAGATAAAAACAGAAGAGCAGATGCAGCACAGTTGTTTATTTATTTTTTCTTTATTCGTTTTAGCTTAACTATTAATTATAGTCTTCTGTTTGTATATGTAGACCACTGCATAGGCAACTCTGTGTTGGTTTGGATGAACACTGCTGTTTTTGTGTTAAAACACTCTAAAGTATATTTTGTAACGTGTTTAAGAGTTTTGTACACAAACATTCTGAAATATTTTATGTACAATGCACTGTTGTAGTACAGTAGGTGTAACACTGAACACAATAAGTCATTATGACTGGAGAAGAAGTGGTCATAATGTTTTACACATCAGGGTTAATCTGGTTCTTATAAATGTTTACTCATGTAATGGTTTGTGTGTCATTTAGAAACCAAAGACCATTTTGAGAAGAATGTGCGTGTGTTTTTGGATTCGTGTGTAGAGTTCTAAAAATATGTTGCATGCTTTCAAAAATCGTGAGTAAACAACTGTGAAGAAATGTAATTGTAATTATGTGAAAAGTGTTTTCCAGTTTAACAAGTTGGTATGAAAAGTAGGGCAGCTGACTACAGTTTTTTATGGCAGCGTGTTTGTTGTGAAAACGAGATTTCTTTCACGATTTCCTTGACAAACGTGTGTTTTTAAACTGTAATGTAAGTGTGAAGCAGAGATTGTGCTGGTAGTTTAGCAGAACTGGTTAGGGGAGTTGGCACATCAGTTACATGTTGTAGTCACTGTGCCAGATGTAAAAAGAATTGTGTGTAAACAACTAACAGCGTTAACATTAATGGAGGGATCATATATAGTTTAATCTCATTTTCAAATATAGAGAACAATGGTTTTTGATTCGTATATTGATCTTTATGAATATGCCAATTGGCTATGTAAAATAATACATTTTATTTCAACAGCGCCTTTCTGAACACTCAAGGACACTTTACAGAGATAAAATACACAACAATAAAAGATAAAACAGCATAAAACAAACAGACAGATTGGAGCAACGAGAGTAATTATTGGAATGCTAGACGGAACAGGTGAGTTTTGAGTCTGGTTTTAAAGAGAGTGAGGGAATCAATGTTACGGAGGTCAGGAGGAAGTGAGTTCCAGAGCTGGGGAGCAGAGCAGCTGAAGGCCCTGCTCCCCATAGTGACCAGACGGAAAGGTGGGACTGAGAGGTGGATGGAGGAGGAGGACCTGAGGGAACGGGTGGAGGTTGAAGGATGAAGGAGGTCTGAGAGGTACGGTGGAGCTAGGTTATGGATGGCTTTGAATGTATATAGCAGAATTTTGAATTGGATTCTGGAAGTGACTGGGAGCCAGTGGAGCTGCTGAAGAACAGGGGTGATGTGGTGGAAGGAGGGAGTTCTGGAAATGATGCGGGCTGCCGAGTTCTGGAGAAGTTGGAGTTTATGGAGGGATTTGTGAGGAAGACCGAAGAGAAGAGCGTTGCAGTAGTCAATACGGGAAGTGATGAGGCTGTGGACAAGAATGGCGACCGAGTGAGTAGTGAGGGAGGGGCGTAGGCGGTTAATGTTACGTAGATGGAAGTAGGCAGACCGGGTAATATTGTTTATGTGGCACTGGAAGGATAGTGAGGAGTCGAGGATGACACCCAGACTCTTGACCTGAGGGGAGGGGGAAACTAAGGAGTTGTCGACGGGAAGTGTAAAGCTGTGGATTTTCGATAGTAAAGATTTAGTGCCGACAAGTAACATTTCTGTCTTATCACTGTTGAGTTTGAGAAAGTTTGATGTGAACCAGTCTTTGATTTCAGATAAACAATTGGGGAGGGAGGAAGGAGGGAGTGAAGAGGAGGGTTTGGAGGATACATAGAGCTGGGTGTCATCCGCGTAACAATGAAAATGGATGTCAAATTTACGGAAATAATTTCCCAGGGGAAGAAGGTAAGTGATGAAAAGGAGTGGACCGAGAACAGAGCCTTGGGGGACGCCAGTAGTGACAGGGAAGGGACGGGAAGTGAAGGATTTTAGTTGAATAAACTTGAGTACGGCCAGAGAGATATGAAGGGAACCAATCAAGCGGGGTATGAGAAATGCCAAGGGAAGACAATCTATGGAGGAGGATGGTGTGAGAGATGGTATCGAAGGCTGAACTCAAGTCGAGGAGGATGAGAATGGAGAGCAGTCCAGTATCGGCAGCAGTGAGGAGGTCATTAGTGATTTTTATGAGTGCAGTTTCTGTACTGTGACCAGGACGAAAGCCAGACTGGAAGGGCTCATAGAGGCTATTGAGCGTGAGATGAGCATGGAGTTGAGCAGAGATTATTTTTTCAAGGATTTTTGAAAGAAAGGGAAGATTTGAGATGGGACGAAGATTATTGAAATTATTGGGATCGGTGCCGGGTTTCTTTAATATTGGAGTAATAGATGCAGTTTTGAAAAGTGAGGGAACAATACCGGTAGAGAGGGAGGAGTGGATTATGGCGGTTATGAGAGGGAGAAGGGAGGTGAGACATGTTTTAACCAAAACTGTAGGGAGGGGGTCGAGAGAGCAGGTGGTGGGTTTGGATTTACAGATAATATCAGATATTTCGGATGAGGTGGGAAGAAGAAAGGAACAAAATGACTGGCCGGGTGAAAAAATCTCAGGGGGAGGGGAAGAACTTGGAATTAATTGCTGTTGTATGGAAGCAATTTTCTGAATAAAGAAGGTTAATAAAGAGTTACATGAGTCAGCAGAATACAGGTGGGGGGGGGGGGTAGAGAGTCCGGGGGATGAAAAATATTGCGCATTATTGAGAACAGAGTCCTAGAGTTGCCTTCATTGGAGGAAACCAATCCAGAGTAGAAAGCAGATTTTGTATGTTTAATTGAGTCCAAGTATTGAAGCAGATGAGTTTTGTGCATTTCTTTGTGTACTGCAAGACCAGTTCGTTTATAGAGGCGTTCGAGTTGACATCCTTTGGCTTTCATCTGTCGGAGTTCAGGGGTAAACCAGGGGGCAGAGTTAGTAAAGGAGACGGACAGAGTTTTGACAGGGGCAAGAGAATCCAAGATATTGTGGAGTGTGGAGATAATGAGAAACAAGATGGTCAGGAGAAGCAGAACTAGGGATGGATATAGTGTTAATAATAGATGACAGGGTGTCTGGGTTAATGTTTTTGATATTGCGGAATGAGATGTGACGGATAGGCTTAGTTCTTAAAGAGCAGAGGGGGATGTTGAATGACAGAAAAAAGTGATCAGATATATTTACATCATTAGCAGAACAGTTAGATGGGGTTAAACCAGAGCAGCAGATTAAATCAAGAGAGTGACCTTTAATGTGCGTGGGAAAATTAGAATATGTTTGAAAATCGAAGCTGTTGAGGCAGGAGGAGAAGTCTCTGGTGAGGGGGAGGTTCAAGTTGTCCATATGAATATTTATATCACCAAGCAGAATGACATTGGGGGAGAGGGTAGTGAGCTGGGTGAGTAATGAGGAGAAGTCATTTAAAAAGTCACTATTGGGCTTGGGTGGGCGGTAGATCAAGGCTATAACTGTAGGAGTGGGACCGGGTATTTGAAAAACAGAAGATTCCATGGAGCTGAAGGCAGGAGTGGAGACAGGCAGCACCTTCCACTTCTCGCGATGGAGCAGCGTGAGACCGCCCCCGCGACCGGAGCCACGTGGATAGGAAAGGTAAACAAAGCCGGGGGGAGCGGAAGCGTTAAGTTGGTAAAAGTCGTTAAGTTGCTGCCAGGTCTCCGTGAGCCCGATGAAATCCAGTTTATGGTCGATGATGAGGTCCTGAATGAGCTGACCCTTGTTTGTGAGAGAGCGGACATTCAGGAGGCCGAAGTTGACGGTGTTGTTGTGGTTGGAGGTTGCTGTCTTCGCCAGGCTGGCTAGCGAGCGAAGGTCCGCAGTCCGGCCAGTGTTGAGGCGAGGATGACGAGTTGTGGACCAGTATGAGGTGATTGAGTGAGATTTATCCAGCTGGAAGTTACGGCGAGACCCACGATGGATGTATCTCCGGCGAGGAGGAAGGACGATCTCCGGGTGGAGCTGTAATGCTACCGGCGGAGGCACAGAGAGATGCCCGCGTAGCAGGAGGAGATCAGCCGCCGTGTACTGGAACAGAGCTGCCCCAGGTTGGAGGAGAAGGGACAGGGCAGACCAGAGGAGGGTCAACCAGATAAATAACT